AACTGGCTTCAAATGCTAAATCCTACCAAGAGCATCTATATAAACAAAGAGCACAGATCATAAGTTTTGTGGTTTTTACAAACTTTGTCATATGTATTTGTTAAACTGCCCCAAATGTCACTTGTCCTGTAGTTGCTTCATGTCTCTTTTATTACATGCTGTTGACATAAAGTGATTGTAGATATTAGATGTCCTCATCCAAGTTCAATTTCAGTAGACTTTGACAGCTGGCTGCCTATGGATACAAAAGACTGCTACAGATATCTTCAAAACAGATTTATTAGAGGGGGGTCTGTTTGTAGGGTTGGCCGTCAATGGCTCATTCTCCTGTGTACTTGCAAAAGTGACCAGAGGACCTACCTTTAAAACACAATTTAGCATGTGTGAGCCCGGTAAAATAAAGATCTTTAGTGTTTGGATTATTTTTCAGCGGTGGTGTAATGCCTGTAGAGGCTGTTTGATTATCTTGTTGGTAAAATCTCAGATTATACAATGTGATGATTAGACTTAAAGGAGAACTATGACATGAGTGATTTCCACTCATCTCATAGTTCTAAGCCGACCTGTGACAATGAGTCTGTCACAGGTCGGCTCAGTAGAACGGGAGGTGAGGGAACACATACCGGATTCCCTCACCTCTCGATCCTGTCACGGCTCTCTGCCGTGACAAGGGGAGGGGCTGCATTCCCCTCTCACCGATCCGATCTGCCAGCGCTGACTGGAGGAACGGACGGGGGAGGGGGCGGGTACAGCTGGCTCTGCCTCTAGATAGGCAGAGCCAGCTGTCACTCACGCAGCTGGGCGGATCCCGTCAAAAGAGTCGTGATCCGTCCCGGCTGCGGCGTCTTAGTATACCGCGAGCTGTAGCTCGCGGTATACTGAGCTTAGGGTAACGGGAGGACGCTAGTTTGTGTCCTCCCGTTACCCTTTGGAGAACTATGGGGAAAAACACTGACCCCATAGTTCTCCTTTAATCAGCTGTTCCGTCTGACTTTTTTCAATAACTGGATTTTTACTGTAGTGTATGTGCTTAAAGACTTGTGAAACCACAGCTATTTCACAGTTATCTGCGTTCTTTGAATTATTAGCACCAATGTTTTTTTCAGTGTGGATTGTGATCCATACATGTCGGTGCCCCATAACTAATGCACACTAACAGTTGGTGCCAATAATATTGAGAGAAATTGAATTGAAGGTAAATTGATTTGAAGGTCAGGGTGGGCACATACACAGTTATGATGCTGACGTTATATACTTCCCAACTTTCTGAGATGACAAAGGGTGACACCTTTAAGCTCAGTTTATATAGACAAAGGATATACTGCTGCCAGGCCCCCAGTTAAGTGAACCACGAAGAATTATTATGCAATAAAAGATTGATTAAAATCACAATTTTTTTTTCCTCACCATAACTTTTCCTATATACTGGCTTTTCAAAGTAATAAATGCAATACTTTAGAGGTTGGATGAAAAGTTTTTTCCTGTAGTATTTGGTAATTAGATATTCAAATAGTCAAAGACAACTTAATAGGAAAGAGGTAAATAGGAACGGTGGGATTTGGCTCAGAAGAGGGTTGGGTGCTCTGATTTGGGAGCCAGTTTTTCCTGCTTTTACATTTGACTGAATCTGAAATGTGTCTCCACACAATCTTATATTCTCAGCCCTGGCTGCCAATATGGGTTCACTGTTTAGTCCTCTTGCTAAAAAAAAAGACAACAACTATACAATAAAAGGAGTCTGTACTGAGAGAAATCTGAGAGCTGCTATTGTCATTCAATATTTTCAGAGTCACTGACCAAGAACAAGCACGCTAGTGAAGTCAAAGCAAAGCCAAAATGTTTCATTTGCATACTCGTTCCAGGTCAATAACACAAAAAGTATTGAAGCCATTAGATCAGTATGACAGCCAGGCAACCAACATTTTCAAAAGAAGAGGTCAGCAATGGCTTCCTCATATTTTCCCAGTACATTGTTTCTTCAAAACATGCTCCCTTGCAATCTAGCCGCTTAGAAACCTATGAACCTACAGCCAGAGGCTTGAACAGTTTTCCTGTAGCATTAGTTAGTACGTGCAGTGTTTTCCGATCTGTCCTGGCCCACCCCATCGCGAAGCTCCTATGATCCTGTTCTCTGCTGAAGCCAAGCATCGGATCCTAGAACCAGCTGGATCTGAAGCCGACACTTCAGTTTTTGATCTTACAGCTTTTGATTAGAAATAATGAGCTTGTTTCATTCAAAATGGGAGCCCTGTGATAAAAGAAATAGGTTTGATTCCACTGGATTAGAGAGCAAAATGATTTGTCATATAGGCGGGTGCTTAACCCCAACTCATGCCATTAACATCCTCTTATGGTTAACCGTTTGCTTCCAGGCAGACTAGCACTAGTGTAATGAAACATAATCTGCAGACCATTTCAGTGTGAGATTGTTCTGTATTATTTAGACATCGGTATGGTAGGAATTTCGTTTTAATCGGTTTGCCATTTAAGAGACTGTGGGGTTGATTTACTAAAGGAAATAAGCTGTTCACTTTGCAAGGGATGTTTCCTCTAGCTTAGTAAATAAGGTGAAGCTCTGCTGACTTCCATCACCCAATCTTGTGACAGCAAAAATGCAGTTTTTTTATGTTCCTTGCACATAATTGGCTATTTTTTTCAAAGTGAACTTTCATCACATTCACTAGGATAAGAGAAACTTCCCAGCAAAGTGCAAATTCCCCTGCAAAGTAAACAGCCTATCTTCCTAAAGTACAGATATGTAGAGGTGCTTGCATGTACCTGCAGCAGCCAGATCCTGCGCCATAGTGTTAGGCCAAAAGAAATGTGAAGGGGTGGGATTTGGCAGTAAGCCTCAACACTAGCTGGAAATGTCAGAGCATTGCATGTTAGACAGGCCTGGTAGCTGCCGGCTTTTTGAAGCTTCTGCACATATGTGCAAGCATGCATTTTATACCTATAAGCAGTTTTCTTGTTTTTCTATGGGATACCAAGTCCCCTAGGTGCTCTAGTAGAATCAATTGCTTGTCTGGGCATGTGGAACAACAGTAGTGTGTTTGGGTATCTAATTAGAAATTTTTCAACTAGTTTTTTACACAATAAACTGAAAACAGTTATTCAACAAACAACAATCTGGCACTTAATAAAATGCTTTACACAAATGGAACAAATATGTGCAAAAAAAATAAAATGAATCATGTAGTCCTTAATATGTTATTACTGTAACCTTAGATTTATTACCTGCTTGTGTCACAAAAGCGAATAGCTCTATTCAAAATGCTTCAGACACTTTGCTTGGGAAAGGAAGTGAACTCCAGTAGCTCATTGCTTTCAGAGTGATTTATAGCAACAATGGACAGTCCTTGAACAGGGTTCCAGCAATAGCCACACTACTTCTCTCCACTTTTGAAAAGTGCTTTGGTGTGAGTTCCTATATCATGGTAGGTGGTCAGGCTGGGGAAGTAGCAGTCTAGTTCCATCAACTTACCCTTAAAGGTTGATCAGGTGCAGTTTTTATTCATACTAGCAAAAGTGTTCCCATTCCAGAACACGCAGGCTTGGGGTGGTTGGATCATAGGTTGGGGCTTGCAGGTGCTGCGGTGAGAGCAGGGTGGGAGGTTAGGTTCAGGGGCATTGAGAATAAAAGGGGCGCACTTCCAGCAGGCATAGAGTGACAGGGAGCATGGAGTGGGAGTGAGTGGAAGCGTGCACAATCTTGGTGAGAAAATGGGTACATGTGCAATGGTGAAGGGGTGCACATCTCTGGTAGTAAGAAGTGGGGTGCAGGTGCAGTGTTGAAGGGGTCACTTAGTGCAAGTATGAGATGGGTAAAGAGCCAATGGTGAAGGGGTGCACATCTCTTGTAGTAAGAAGGGGGGGTGCAGGTGCAGTGTTGAAGGGGTCACTTAGTGCAAGCATGAGATGGGTAAAGAGCCTACAGGTGAGGTCGTGGTAGTAAAGTTGCAGTAGTCGGCAGGTGTATGATGAAAGCGTAGAGATGCAGTGTAGTGAGGGTGGCCAGCTTGTGCAGACATGGAGTGAGGGCACTGGAAAGCATGCACAGTACAGTTGACAGAGGCAGGGACTAAACAGAGGGGGGAGGGTGTTCAGGCATTGGGTGAATGGTTGGAGGGTTTGTACATGCATTGGTGAAACCTGAGGAGGGGGCAGGCAGACATGGGATGGAGGTTTGCACAGGCATAGTAGTAAGACAATGGTAGGATTCAGGTGCATTGGTGAGACAGGGTACAGGTTCAGTGGTGGAGAGGGAGTGCAGGCATGGTGGGTGATGAGAGAAAGAGTATGCATGTGTGGAAGGTGGTGAGAGAAGCAGGAGTACAGGGGGG